GATGTGGTTGTTGTGGTATCGGAATGATAACACTTGCAGCCTGATGATGATGACACTGATATTGATATCTGCCTCTGCCTCTACCCCGAGAGCTTGACACAGAATTAGCGTCGCCTTCACGCTTTTTATTTCCAAACACTTTCTTTCCTCCACCTGACGAAGGTACTTCTACAGCCTGAATTTTCCCAATCTTGATGCCGTTTTCTATACGCTCACCAGTGATGACAAGGTCAGAGAAACTCCCGGACATACAGTTGATGAGCTTTTCATAGTACATCCTAGATAACGTCGATACATACAAGTCAATCAACTCTCTCTCTACCATTGGGGGTTGCACTCTGGCTGCAAGCTCACGCCACCTCTGGGCGTACTCTTTGAAAGATTCCCCGCTATTCTGGACGACATTCTGAAGCTGGACCCTGTTGGGAGCAAGGTCACTATTGTACTGGTAATGCTTCACGAATGCTTCAGCCAAACCCTTCCAACTACGAACTTGAGAGGGTTCCGAACCCATATACCACTCGAGCAACGGCCCTGACAGGCTATCCTGGAAAAAATGCATGAGCATCTTCTCATCGTTTGAATAGGCTGACATATTTTTGTAGTATGAACGTATGTGCACCCTTGGGCAAGTGACACCTTTGTATTTATCGGAGGTAGGAACTTTGAACTTGTACGACACTCGTAAATCTGGGATCAGCCCTATATTGGCCATGTCGAGCCCCATGGAGTCCTGATTTGTTATATTCCTCATCTGTTCCTCCAACATTCTGAATCTACGATCAGCTTCAGCAGGCAACTCAGCGCCTACATCCCACATAGAGAACACGTCGTCGTTACGATCTTCATTCCATCGTTGGTCCCCATTGCCATACCCTGCGTAGGCCCTCTCCGGACCATAGACGTTCCGATTGACATTGTAACCATAACCAGCGTTACCCAGACCATGGTTAGCAGTACTAGGTCCAAACCCAGCATAATGAGCACCACTACCACAACCCAAGTTAACAGTATTACCAAGACCTGTATTACCAGCATTACAAAAACCTGCATTACTAGTAGCATTACCCAGACCAGCGTGGCAGACGCCAATATCACTACCATTCCCAGCCCCTGCAGCAGTTGGGGTGCATCGGGTAGGCACAACAGTGGCGTTAGGAATTTCTGTATTGTTGCGGTGAGTATTAGCAGCAATACCTCCGTGAAGAACTCCATTAAGATCAACCTTAGCTACCAGGGGCTGGACCATTGTTCTCAGTTGCTCCTGTCCTTGAGCCATACCTTGCATGACTTCCATGAGCTGAGTCATGCGCTCCCTCATCTCTTGCATCTCAATCTGAATGTGATCCATGGCTTTCTTGAGATTGTTTCTAGTAGGATACCAGTGAAGTCTCTGGTCAGCAATCCTGAAACAACTCTGAAAAGATAACAGAACATAAGAACGAGGCTTAAGAAGGTACCTGCAAACACAAAGAAAAATATGCAAAATGCTAACAATGTATATATGCATATGGAATATTTCCCTTGATTCTAGTTCCGGGTGAAACACATGACAATGGAAACCCCTCAGACAACAATAGTAAAAAACTCCTCATATACAGATGGAAGACCACATAGGTAGTTACAAGCACAAGTATCTGAACACAAATGACGGCAAGCGAGATAGCTAGAATCAAAGGGAATATGCACCTGCAATGTTAATGCAATGTCATGTAATCAATGCAGATGAGAAGTGCAAAAATGCAAGGATGCTATAGGGGATCAAGGTAGCTGTGTTGTGCTGTAGAAATAATAATCAGAAGCTGATTGTGCTGTAGCTTGAGAATAACCAGAGCTTCGCCTTTTCATAACATATATCACTGCATGACATAGATCACTGATACTGAAGACCTTTGATATCAAACCCAAAAGTTCACACTGTAGAGAAAACTGGGTAATCTGGAGCTATGGTTTCCTGCATAACCCAATCCCTCTCATAGGTATGGACCTATCCACTAATAAGGTACGACATCCTATGCGTTCATCAGCGTCACAGACTTTCAAGAGCGATGATACGATACCCAGAAGATATGGCAGCATCATCTCTTGAAGCGGCCTCACTTAGCTGAATCACAAATGATCGCTCCCCAGAGTCGACAACCCTCCAAACCAACAACCCCTCAAGCCCAAAGGGCTAGAAAAGAAGTCAACCGGGAGAATCTCGTCTGAGCGTGGATTTCGTGAGACACTAGTACCTGCAAAGCAAGCACGCACCCACTACTTTCCACAACTAATGCTAGGTACACTCAAGCCTGGGTCTGGCTTATCACTCATCAGAATCAATCCCCTCCCACAACAGCATAATAAGGATATAATATAATGCTAAAAATAAACTGCGGGAACATAAAATGCGGGAAAGTAAAGCTAAGATACAACAGGTATGTACAAAACCCACAAGATAAACAAACAAGCGCTAGGACTGACTCGCCTAGGAGATGGGAAACGGTCCCAGCGTAGGGATGGGAAAAGTCCCCAGCAGCTATAAGTCCCCAGCAGAGTTGCCAGCTGTCACTATTGCGAAAATCAGCGCCGGCATAACAGAAGAGTCGCCACCATGCGTTATTTATCCCAAAGGAGGGACAGGAAACGCTCAGATAAAACCTAACGAAAAGAGGGAAAAGGAATGGTCATTGCAACCAAGTCCTGGATTTGGGAGTCGGTTACGCAAGGGGAAGGTATTAGCACCCCTCACGTCCATCGTACTCGATGGGATCCATGCTTAATTGTTTATCTCGAAGGGTTGATTAATACTATCTAGCTAAAGGCTTATGGACAAAAGAAAAGAGAAATGACTCGGCAAAGTATCACACTTTATGCCCACGTATTCCCGTCTGGAACGAGAAATCAGAGTCAACGTAGTTTGCCTACCTACAGGAAAGGAGGGGAAGGTTGCTCGCCGAGATATCGCATCTCGTGCCTACATACTTTCATCTGGTATGAAAGATCAGAGCAGCCGTAGTTCAGCTTACTACGGGGAGACTAGTTTAATCCTAAAGTTATCATGCCAAGTTCGTCCTAAGGTTGAAGTTTGCAAAGGGGAAAACTACCCTAATGTTGTCATACATGGTTGCAAAGCCTAATGTCTATCGCATTCTACCTTAAACAAGGAAGAATGGAGATCCTAAGGGAAAGGCAAAGGAAGCAACGGAAAACAGATGAAATAAACAGCATACAGGAAATGCGAATTCATAAGGGTAAACATGGAATGCAAGTGAGGGAGGAAGTCATCTCAACCTCAAGCCCATAATGAATGGAAAATGGCCTGTGCTAAACATACAATCTTGGCCACAAGTGATTATAAAGTGATACGAGGCAATAAAACCTACGAATGACATACGTATACTACGATTTGGAATCATAACGCGCTATCATGGAAATATGGAACCTAATGGGCAATTATGTATGATAAAACCAGCCAATCAATGATCTATACATCCTATATAATGTCTATAATGAGCAATAGGAACCTTAGCGTTCACCACACAAACAAATCGAGGCCGTTGGAGCCAAAATAAAACCGAAGTCCGTTCGAATGTCCAAATTACAAGTCCGAATACAAAATATAAGAAAAATAGCAAAAGGTGCTAAAAAATTCAAATAAAAATCTCCAATTCCCTACATCAAGTCACAAACCAGGGGTGAGATATATCATAAAAATATCCAAAGAGAAATGGCCAAACAAGTTGAAACTATGTCATGTATACCAAAAGAAAGGTTAAAATGGAACATGTTAAAGAAAGCATCCAAAACCGACTAAAATGGTACAATAAAATTTCCACAAAAATATATCACAATACCTCAACATGTGTATGAATACCCTGCAAAAGATTTGGCATTTAAATGATGTATTGATAGGTCAAAGAAAATCAACAAAATCATGACACAAGTATTTACATTCTTATGACACCCTAAATGTAAAAAATCCAAATAAAATCTCAGAAAATTGTAAAATTATAATTCCAGTTCTATAAAATTCTAGACATTTCAAAGATTTAGCACAAAAAAACGGGGATCAAAAAGATTAATTTTCCTATTTTTTATGATTATTTAAAGTCAGGATGTAAAACAGAAAAATAAAAAAGAATAAGAACATGATTATATGAGAACAAAAGAAAATAGGTGCAAATAAATCAGAAATGTGGCTGCCAAGGATCGAACAGGGGACATGGGGTACATTCCAGCTGAGTTGGCGCACCACATCAATTAATGAAGTGTGATGTGGCTGCTTGCGTGGCTTAATGAGGGCTGTTGGATGATGATACTAAGTCTTCCATTTGAACCAATCCGACGCATGCTGTTCTTCTTCTCCACTTGAATGAAATTGAAGAGGAAAAATTCTGCATTTTTTTCACGGTGGCCGGCGGTAGGGGGTGTTGGCCGGAAAACTTCAAACTCCTCTATCTCTCTCAATACTTATCCAAACGCGATAATTTTTGAACCGATTTTGTGGGATTTTTTCCAAGGATTAAGAATATTGCCTTAGTTTTTCTTGAGGAGCTCTCTAACTCAAAAACCCTGTTTGAATCTCAAACTTTCAAGAACCAAAAATGTCATGAAAATGCCTTTTTTTTATACTGGAATCCATGTGGGGGATGAGAGGAATGTAATGCTACGAAAATGGCACAAGAAAGATTAGTAATTATTGAGATATATTGATTTGTTAGTACCTCTAAAAAATGATTCTTAGAGCTTCAAAGAACCACCAAAGCTTCAAGAAAATTATGTGGAAAGGTTCAAGGATTCATGGTAGAGGTATTGGAATGGAAGAAAAGTCTTGGAATTGAGAAAAAACGAAAATTGGATTTTGAGGTGGAGCTTACTTTTTTGTGTTACTACAACAATGGTGTTGCACTAAAAACTTCTCCAAAAATTGACGGAAAAATTCTATGAAGTATATTGAATGTATTTGCAATGAAAAAAGATCAAAAAAAAAAGTTTGAGAACTAATAAAGTGCAAAAAAATGGGACGAGGGCGAGGGCGGCCGCCAAAAAAATCGGTGCCTCCACCACCATTATCGCCGGTGGTCTCTACTCCGGTGTCTCAATCGGTTTTGCGAAGCCACAATGTCAGCAAGAATCTCAGCACAGAGGAAAATGTGGGAATCAAGTACCTTGGAGAAACCTCAGATGCTCCGGAAGACGGAAGCATTGCGAAGAAGAGTAACGAAATTGAACTGGAAAAACCTAGGTCAACTCCAACTCCTGAAGAAGGGCGAAAGCTATGGGCTGATGTGTTGAAAGACAACAGGAATCCGGAGAAAGGTCGTGCTATGAAGTTCATACCCCCTCAAGTCGTGGAAGGGAAAATCGAGGTTCAAATTGAGGAAGATGATGTCAGCTCTGAAATCAAGTTCTGGGAATCTTCGCTGATTCTTTATGCTATGGGAGCGGATTTGAGTATGAATGCGGTCAAGAATTTTATGACCAGAACTTGGAATTTTGTTCAACTACCGGACATGTATTTCAATGATGAAGGGTATTTCATTCTCCGGTTCAAATCATTCACAGATCGAGACGAAGTTATGCTGAGAGGACCGTACATGTTAAGAAACATTCCTTTGTTGATTCGTGAATGGAGGCCAGATTTCAAGATCAAGGATGAACTCTTAAGAACCTTACCTATTTGGGTTAAACTTCCCCAACTCCCTATCGTGTTGTGGGGTGATACAAGCCTGAATAAGATTGGGAGTGCCCTAGGTAAGCCTATTATGACAGATGAATGTACTGCAAACAGATTGCGAGTATCCTATGCACGTATTCTAGTTGAAATGGATATTACAAAGGAACTACCTCAATCAATCACCATAGCTGATCATGCTGGAGAAAAGATGCAACAATCAATTGAGTATGAGTGGAGACCTCTTTTCTGCAACAAATGTCAAAAGGTAGGTCACTGTTGTGAAAAGCCTAAGATGAGGAAACAATGGATACCAAGGAATGTGAAACAACCTGAAGCTAATGAGATGTCAAATAAGAGTGGGGATGCTAATAAAGAGCCTTTTGAAATAGGAAATGTCAATTTGGATATAGTTCAGAGTAGGAAGGAGAATGATGGCTCTATTGCTACTGAGGTTACTTCTATCAGAAATAATGATGTGGAAAAAGTTATGGAAAAATGGACTGAGGTTATTAAAAGTGGAAGAGATAGAGGTAAAAAGTTAGGTAATGTTGAAGCCGCAGGTGTGTTTTCACATGACAATGGGTTTGATGCTCTAGAGATTTTGAAGGATCTCGTAGTGGCTCAAAACACTGGCCAAATGATTGTCTCTTGGAATATCAGGGGGCTGAATAAAATGGGGAAGCTAAAGAAGACTAGCTCCCGTCTCCTAAACCTTCATCCCAACATTGCTATACTACTTGAAACTAGAGTTAAATGTGAGAAAGCAAAGAAAGTTAGAGAACATCTTAACCTCAGAGGTAAATATATTGACAACTATCAATCTCATTACAATGGTAGGATTTGGATTTTTTGGGATGACAGATATAAGGATATCAGAATGGTGAGATGCACAGATCAGATGATACACTGTGGAATTTATGATGTTAATGGCAACTTCCAACACTGGATGACAGCCATTTATGCTATGAATCAGCTGGACCAAAAAAGGAAATTATGGGAGGATTTGGAGCATATACACAACAACCAACAAGGGCCTTGGTTCCTAATGGGAGATTTTAACAATGTGACAAAATCCATGGACAGGATTGGGGGAAACTTGGTGACTGAGAGCGAATATGTTGATTTAAGAAACTTGATGGATAATGCTGGGCTTTTTGAGAAGGATAACACAGGTGATTATTTTACATGGACAAATAAACACTCTGTAGGCACTATATACTCAAAAATTGATCATGTGCTTGGTAATATTGACTGGCTGCAGGAAAATACTAATATGAAGCTAGAGATTCTCCCACCTAGTATTTCTGATCACTGCTTATTGTGTTTGTCTGACCATAAAAGAAACAGGAGTGTACACACCAACTTCAAGTTTACTAATAGTGTGATTAAGTTGGATGGATATCAGGACATTGTTAAGCAGAGTTGGTACAAAAGGTGTATGGGAAGACCTATGGCTCGTTTGTGGTACAAGTTGCTAAGGTTGCAGGCTCCTCTTATCAAATTGAGCAAGCAGTTCTCTCATATCCATATGTCCATTATTAAAGCCAGGACTGAACTTCTCAAAGCGTAGGAAGATTTAAGGGTGGACAGAATGAATGCAAGGAACATTGATAAGGTGAGAAAGTTTACTGAAGAAGTGACTTACCTACAGGACCTTAATGTTAAAATGCTAAGACAGAGATCAAAATTGGATTGGCTTAGAGAAGGTGATTCTAATTCAGCATTTTTCTATGCATACCTCAATTCTAGAAGTGCTAGTACTCACATCAGTCAACTTCAGAAGGAGGATGGCACTTATATTCAGAGTATTTCTGACATAGAAAAGGAGGTATGTGACTTTTATACTAATCTGTATGGGATTCAAGAACGTAGGGTGAGTATGATTGATATCAATGCTATGAGGGAGGGACCACAATTATCTATGTTGCAGAGAGCTGAGCTTATTACCCCTATTACTGCTGCTGAAATCTGTACTGCTATTAAAGGGATTGGTGACCTAAAGAGTCCTGGTATTGATGGGTATGGTGGAAAATTCTTTAAGGCTAGTTGGAATATCATAGAGCAAGATGTTGTTGAAGCTGTCCAGGAATTTTTCGAGGAAAATGTGTTGTACAAAAGATTTAATGAGACTATTGTTACATTGATACCTAAACATCCTGCTGCAAAAATGATTAAAGAATATAGCCTATTGCAGGGTGCACAACTGTGTATAAAATCATTTCCAAGATCCTCACTGCGCGACTTGGAAGAGTTTTGGGGACTATTATCAGTAAAGCTCAGGCAACATTTGTACCTGGCCAGAATATTCACTCTCATATTTTATTGGCAAGACAATTATTAAATGGTTACAGTAGGAAAAATGGTACGCCAAGATGTACGGTCCAGCTTGATATCCAAAAAGCATATGACATGGTTGATTGGGGTGCTCTTGGTCATATCCTCAATGAGATAGGGATGCCACAGAGATTTGTTGATTGGATCATGACTGTTGTTACCACAGTCTCTTATAGATTTAATATCAATGGTAAATACACTGACAAGGTGGAAGCAAGAAGGGGTATTAGACAAGGGGATCCATTGTCCCCCCTTATGTTTGTTATTATTATGGAATACTTTAGCAGGTTGCTATTCAGAATGCAACGAAATCCGGATTTCAATCACCATGCCAGATGTGAAAAGCTGCAGCTCACCCATCTTACTTTTGCTGATGATCTACTACTGTTCTCTAGAGGTGATAAAGGTTCCATGGAGATTCTGTAGCGCACCGTCAATAGTTTTTTGGATTCAACAGGTATGAAGATTAACCCTACCAAGAGTAAAGTATATTTTGGTAGTGTTTCAGATCCTGTCAAACATTCAATCCTGCATTTTACTGCTTATGAGGAGGGGACTCTCCCTTTTAGATATCTTGGAATCCCAATGAGTAGTAAAAAGTTGTCTGTGGTTCATTATATGCCATTGGTGGATAAGCTGCTGAGTAGGATTACTCATTGGAGCTCTCGACTTCTTAGTTATGTCGGCAGATTACAGCTGATTAAATCTGTTTTGTATGCTATTACCTCTTATTGGATGCAGTGTGTTTGTTTCCCTAAAACTGTGATTAGCAAAATTAATTCCATTTGTAGATCCTTTCTATGGACAGGAGGTAGCATCATTAGTAGAAAGAGTCCGATTGCGTGGGATAAGGTTTGTAAACCTGCTGTTAAAGGAGGTTTGAATGTGCTTGATTTAGTTGTATGGAATAACATGTTTATGATGAAGTTACTCTGGAATTTATCCATGAAAACTGATGATCTTTGGGTTCGTTGGATCCACGCCTATTACCTGAAGAATGAGGATGTAATGTATTGAATGGTAAAAAACTCAGATCCAAATATTCTTAAAACTATTCTTCTGCAGAGGGAAAACATAGGCAATATGCAGATGGTTTGGAATGAGATGGTGCAAGCAAGGAAATTCATTGGTAGGAGAGTGTATGCGAATTTGTTACCTGCCACACCTAATGTTGCCTGGGCCAAGCTAATTCTCCACAATAGAGCTAGACCTCGTGCAATTTATACTCTCTGGATGATCTGTCATGGGAAGTTAGGCACAAAAGTCAGATTGCATCGGCTTGGTATGGTGAACAATAACCAGTGTGTTTTTTGCCCTGCAGCGGAAACCATTGACCACCTATTTTTTGAGTGCGATACTCTGAGAAAGACTTGGGTAGAAATGCTTCACTGGATTGGTATCCCTCACATTCCCGGGAATTGGAATGAGGAGCTAAAATGGATGTTGAATTGTTTTGGAGGAAAAGGTTGGAAAGCTGAGCTTGTTAGATTAGCGTTGACTGAAACTTTACATGAGTTGTGGAGTTTTAGAAATGACACTTGTTTTAATCAAAGATTAGACAGTAGGAATTGTATAGATAGAATCATTAACAACATAGTTTATAGAGGGTGGTCGAGCCCTAAGCTTAGACCACATATAGCTATCTTGATGGTACAGTAAGTCTTTTTTAGTTTTCGTGGTGTGGGCTGGATTTTGATCGCCTTGTATTACTATTGACTTTGGATTAATGAAATTTTTGATTAAAAAAAAAAAGATCAAAAAAGTGGAGAGAAAAAGGAATTGAAAAATCAATTTTTCAAATGTAGAAAATTGTGGGAAAATGAAAAAATGGTGGGAGAAGAAATGCAAAGCCTTGATTTTGGTTTATATACATTTCATGCATCATAAGAAACTTCCAAGGCCAAAAATAGTTCCTTGTTTCTAGTCTTAAGGAAAAAATCCAAAGTGTTACTTGAATTGTAAGAAATCTTGGAATAGCTCATGATAAAATCCTCAAATGAAAAATGTAATAATTCCATTGTTCTTAAAACATGATTTCCATTCAAAATGAGTACAAATATGGATTGGTTTGGTTAAATTTTGACAAAATACCAAACTAAGTCATTTCACATGTTTTCACCAAAATCACTTTCATTAATCTTCAACCATGAGCTAGCCCATTAAAACCTTGAAGTTTAGTTGACCAAATGACCCCATTTGGAGCAACTTTCACGTTGGAAAAAATTCCATTTGAGTTATGCAAAGTATTAAACTTGACTTGTAATTTATGACCTGTAATCATAGTTTTCCAACTCATTGATAATCTTCAGTTGGCCTCTAAGTCAGGGGATGAACCCCACACAAGCATCTGAACTTCTCAAGGGCATGAACCACTTCCTGGTGACTTTAGTGATTCCTCAAGCTCGAATAAAACCTCTAGATAGGCCTCTCTTGATGTATATCACACTTGATCCCATGCATAAATGCTAATGCAATGCTATGATAATGCTATGATGATGTTATGCTAATGCAAAACAAGAAGGAAAAGGTTGAGCAAATTTTGGGGTGCAACAGGTACCATATGCATTGTGTCGAGTCAGTCAGTCACATTACATATTTGTATTTGATTATGGGCTATTAATGCCGAGTGATTGAGATGACACTTGTATGTGCTTTGTATGTGTATGATTGTATGTGTGGTGTGTAACTACTCCTTAGCATTTGTATTTCACCGCTTATTTATTGAATGTAGTTCTCACCCCTTTTTGTTTGTTGTGTCTGTGCTCCTTGGGGAGTGCAGATGACCAGGTACCTGAGTAGTGCTTGGAGTGTGTTGCTATTCGATCGAGTCCTAAGAGTCGCTCTGATACGTAACATGGGATGACGGGATTATGTTTACTTGGCTTATTTTCTTGATTTATTGTTACGTATATTTTATTGTGGATTAATAATGTATAACCACTGGCTGTGGGAATTATATTTCGACATTGAATTTTATTCCGCTGATTAATTGAAAGATGGATAATTTTGGTTTATTTAACATGAATGAAGTGACTTAGTGTGACATCCTGCTGATTTGAAAACTCTGATGTATTTTCTTTAATATTCCCATAATACGTGTACGGGGTAGAGTAGGGTGTTACAATTGGTATCATAGCAGGTCGGTCCGTCTGGCCAGTGTTGTAGTAGAGTCTGACTATAGGTTGTTTATAGTCATGCGTTTTTCTAACCGTGTTTTCTTGAATGTGGAGCAGTATGGCTGGTAGGAATGATGCTGCGATGGCTGCTGCGTAACAAGCTGTTGCGCAGGCAGTGGAGAACATTGGTCAGAATATCAATCAGAGTGCTGGAAACGGAGAGTTCCGTAATTTGGAGAAGTTCCAGAACAACAAGCCACCAAAGTTTGAAGGTGGACATGATCCAGACGCAACACAGAAATGGCTGAAGGATATTGAGAAGATCTTCAGAGTCATGGGGTGCTTAGAGGAATAAAAGGTACAATTTGGTACCCATATGCTGGAAAGTGAAGCCGAGGACTGGTGGGATAACACCTGCCCAAGATTGGAAGCTGGTGTGGGTCCCATTAATTGGACAGTGTTCAGGGCCGAATTTTTGGAACGGTATTTTCCGGAAGATGTTCACGGAAAGAAAGAGATTGAATTCATTGACTTGAAGCAAGGGAACATGATCGTGGCAGTATATGCTGTTAAGTTCGAAGAACTTGTGAAGTATTGTCCTCATTACAATACTGATGCAGCTATGAGTTCAAAGTGCATCAAGTTTGAGAATGGGTTGCGTCCCGAGATCAAACTGGATGTCGGTTATCAGAAGATTAGGTACTTTCCTGAGTTGGTGAACAGGTGTAGAATCTATGATGAAGACAACAGAGCTAGAATCGCTCACTATAAGAATCTAAGTGACAGAAGAGGCAAGCGGAGACATGAGAATACACCTTACCATGCTCCTGCTCATAAAGGAAAGCAGAAAGATGTTGCTAGAAAGAAACCAAGTGGGGGAGGAAATCCTTCCAATCCTCTCAAGTGTTTCAGATGTGGTGGCGCAGGTCACCGTGCAAATGAATTCCAGAATGAAGTGAAGAAGTGTTTTAAGTGTGGGAAGCCATGTCATGTGGTTGCAGATTGTAGGACCAACACCCCAACCTGTTACAACTGTGGTGAGCAAGGTCATATCAGCACCCACTGTCAGAAACCGAAGAAGTCTCAGACAGGTGGGAAGGTGTTTACATTGGTGGGAGCT